TCCAGCCTCCTCTCTTCCTCCCCTCCCTTGCTGAGTTTCCTCTGAGCTGTAATGTGCTGCTTCCTTAGGCCTCAAGATCTCTGCCATTGTGTTCCTTGGGTCCTTCCTGCCCCCTTGCCAAGCAGTCAACACTTGCTCATACTTGGGTCCAATGTCACCTTCTTGGGAAGCCTCCCTCTTACATTTTCTCAGGAATTTCCCTCTTGTTTTTATCACAGTTTATAACTATATCTGATTCGTGGGACTATTTGATTAATATTTGTGTCCACAGCCCACATGTGAGTGTGTCCTCACCTCTGAGAGCCCAGGACTATCACAAGTGTACAGTGAATGTCTGCTGAACGAATCTGTGCATCTGGAGCCTTTTGGGTCCAGAATCAAGGTTGGGCACACAGCAATTTTGAGCTCACACACTCCCTGCCCTCAGGAGACTGGGAGCAGCCATCTCTCTGCCCTCACTGGCCAGGTAAGGAAGCCCAGGTGACTTTGCTTCCTCAAAGCCTCGGTGTCATCATCTTGGAAATAACGTGATCATGACACTAGTGTCATTAGGTTATACTGGCAAGATCAAACTGATGACTAGGACTGTTCCAACCAGCCTGGATGCCCTTGGGCCAGGGGCGAGGTCTGATTCACCCAACTGAGGCCTGGTACCAGGGCAGGGCATCAGGAAATGACAGGCAGATCTCAGAGCTTTGGGGAATGAGCCTGTTTCAGTAGGTGGGCCAAGGATTTGTGAGGACTGGCTCAGCCATGTGCAGGGAGCCCTGCCCAAGAGGATTCTGACTTCTCATGACAACCCTAAGCATGGCACAATAATTATTATCCCCATGTTACAGACCTACAGTTCCTTCACTTATTAATTCAATAAATATTTAAGTGCTTATGTGCCTGGCACACCAGGCTCTGGAAATGCAAAAGAAGGCAGACACAGCCCTATTCTTAAAGGAGCTCATTGTCTAGTGTGTGTGTGGGTAACCTCCCCTCCTGAGGGCTTGCTGTGTGCTGGTGCCAAACACATTACATTCACTCAAACCTCGCAACAGCCCTACAAGTCAGGCACTTTCATCATTATGTCCATTTTAGAGCCAGAAAGTTGAGGCAGGGGAGGAGGGAGCCTGTTGCCCAGTGTACCACAGGTCATAGCCTGAGGAACCAGGTCTTCTATGCCCATGTACTTAGCCATGGTCTGTACTGCCTCTGGGCACTCTGTCCTGCTTATGAGGCTGTCTTGCCGTGTGACAGCAAATGCCCTACGGCACGAGTCTGAGTCAGTTTGAGCCTGCATGTGTCTGGAGCCAACTCTAGTTCTGTCCTTGGCAGGGATGAACAATGCAGTGTATGGCAAGGAGAACAATGAGTTTGGGGATCCCTGGGGCCCAGGAACTATGTCAGTTTCTTTTCTGCACAGGAACTTCCCACAGGTCCTCACTTGGATTGACAAATATTCCAAAGAGAGGGAGCCTCTGCCTGAGGCTTGCAACATCGCCATTGGTCTGTCAGTCTTTCTCTAACCTGCTTAGAGCCGTAAATAATGTGACACCCTAGGGAACCCAGGTGGCAGCCCTTCCTTCTTCTCCTGAGGGAGGGTGTGGTGGTTGGAAGCCAACACAGGAACCCCTAGTCCTACAAAGAGTGTGGGAGAGGAAGTTAGGCCCCAGGGGAGTCAGGCTGAAGCAGGTGGACTGAAAAGAATGGATGAACAGACTGAATGAGGGATGGGAGCACAGGTCTGTTTTGAGCTGTACTGGCCCCCTGGCATTGCCCACTCTGGGGTGCCCCTTCCTCCCAAATTACCGTGACTCACCCCTAAACTTCCTCTTTCGGCAACAGCTTATAAACCTCTTCCTTATCATTTTCTCAAGAGTGCCAGAGACCTGAAAATCGGCGCTAGAACCATTTCCCAGGTGGGAAACACTGAAGGCAAGAGTTGCCTACAGTCACGCGACGAGTACAGAGCCAGAGCGGGAAGCCTGGTCCAGGAGACTCGCATTTTGGACTCTCCACCCAAGGCAGTAGTGGGGCGTCCGATAGTCTCTATGCTGGGGGTATATTCCGCTCTCACATCACCCCCCTCTCACAATGGATCATCCCCGCACGTCCATTGCAGAGCAGCAATAGGCCAGTCCACGGACTCCCCTACTTCTCGTGGAGGTGGGTCAGTCCAGTCACTCAGTCCCCAGTTCCCAGTGCGATGTCCAAAGTTCCTTCCGGGCTGTTGCCAGCCCCCGCGCGCTCACCTTTGGTCTTGACTTTTCGCCACCGCCGGCGGCTACGGCTCTTGGACCCCTTTTTGTCCTTCTTCGAGGCCGGGGCCCCAGCGGCCCCGGCGGGCCCCTCTCCCTCGGCTGACTCCATCAATTCTCCTGGGTCCCTGCGCGAGGACCAATTCCAGCCGCTAAGCCCCGCCCCGGGAGCCAATCCAGGTTACACACCACCGGCGAGCCCCCATACCACCCAATCCTGGGCTTGCTCCTCTTTGTGTCCCGCCCCCTGAGCGATCCGGCCCTCGCGCCACTGCTAAGGCCTAGCCCCGCCCCCTCATACGCATTAAAGGACCCGCGACCAACAAAAATGCAGCCCTGGAGGCGGCGATAAACGTCCTTCAGGCAGGGCTAGGGAGTCGCACGGTGGACACCCTAGCAGAGAAGCCTCGATATTATGACATGTTGGTTTTCAGCCTCACCTTCCCACTCACCTTCCCACGTAGGTATCCCCTAGAATGCGACCCGGCGCATCCGCTGGAGGGGGAGAACTGGGTGCCGCTGAGCCACTGCTTGGGGGTAGGGGGCGGGGCCAGGTCCTCGGGCAATTCAGAGCCGGGGCGGGGCGCTAGCGCTGGAGGTGTGGCTCTGCCTGCGAGCCGTCGGAGGAGGAATCCTCGCCTTCTCCCCAACCCTTGCCTCCTTGTTAATTGCTCTCTTTCTCGCGGTTCTTTTTTCTGCCCTCTCCTCCCCACGAGAATGGGGGAGGGGCAAGGAGAATGCTCCGCACCTGCGCATTAGCCCCAAAAGCGGGCCCACCGGTAGGGAGGAGCGGCGGTGGAGGAAGCGCCGCGCACCTGGGAAAAGGCGGGAAACAGAGGAGGCTTCCGGCTTGCGCATGCGCACACAGCCACTGCCTCCCGGGCGCTCGAGGAGAGGCGGCCTGGTCGCCTTGGCGGTGTGAAGAAGGTGTCCCTTGAGACTGGGTTCTGGAAGCCTAGAGACACAACTCTTAATCCTCAGCGCCGGAAAAAGACCTGGAACCCTTTCTTTCCTTCCTGCCTCTCCTCGTTGCCCTCCCAAGGCCCACGACCAGCCCTGGCACGGACAGACACCAAGTACCCTCATTTCCTCAGACCTGAGAGAGACAGGCCAGCCTTCCCGGCTGGGTCATGCCTCTGGCCTGGGTCCACCATTGCCAGCCCTCGGACTAAGCCTTACAGTGTTCTTAGCTTGTGGAGCGGGGCTGGATGTTTTCTTCCCCCTTGGGCTACTTCAACAAGTAACCCCTTATTCCAGGGGGAAACCTTCCTGCCCGCTTCTGCCTGGCAGGGCTTTGGAGCCTAAAGGAGGAGAATGGGAGCTGGAGCCTGCCCCTTGGGGCACCACTGCCTGCTTCAGAAGAGGGAAGGGAGTGTTGGCAGCCATCACCCTTGCCTCCCGCTCTCTGCCACTGTCCCTTCTTTCAGCCCCAACCTTGCTTGGGACTTTGGCGAACCCCACAGCCCCTCTCCCAGGGTTCCCCTTTTGTAAAAACCCACCCCCAAGGGCCTCAAGGCCTCCCGGGACTGGGGGTCCCCCGGACAAGCCCGGCGAACAAGAAGGGGTCTGCGCTGGGAGCCCACCCCGAAGCCGCAAGGATCGCTCAGGCCTGATTTGGGCCTAGTTGGGATGGAAATTCCCTGAGGGTAAGGGCCACATTCAGCCTGTGTCTGTGCAGCCTTGGGCAGTGATGGCTTCAGAACTGTGCTCAGTGGGTTTGGGGACAGATGGATGAATACTGGCAGGAGGGTGGCTTCCCTTCTGTTCTGGTCCCTAGCCCAGAATCCCTTTCCACTCTGAGTTCCCCCAAAAATCCTTCCTAGGGAGGCAGCCTGGTGCCTGGGAAGAAGTCCGACCCTAGCTTTGGGCTTCACCCCTCATGCCAGATCCTTTACATCTCATTGCTTGGGCCTCCTCATTGATCAAATGGGGCTTTTGATCTTTGTCTTGCTGTCGAGGGATCACCTGAGCTAACCTGACACACTGGCAGCTCTTAGTACTTCTTGACCTTAGGAATGACTGTCCCTAGGAGGCTCCCATTCCTCCAGGCTCAGCTCACCTGTGTCCTGGTAGTGTCTGCGATCCTGGCTGCTGGTTTTCTTCCCATGGGCTGATGTCCCACCACATCCTGACTTCGCTTCATAACCAGGCTTCCACGTGAAGGCCAACTTCATCCCCTGGGCCACTGTTTCACCGCTCATGGCTGGTGAATCGTTCTCAAATGGACACTCCGAATCTGATTCCGAGTCTAAATCTGTGACCCACTCCAGAAATGTCTTCCACTCTGAGGCCGGTTGCTGTATGGATAGTTCATGCAGTTTTGATAGAAACCCCAACTCGATCGAAGATCCCTGCTGGGATTTGGCTGTTTGCTGGGCTATAGGATCTGACTGTCCTGATTTCTCTTGGGACATAGATTCCGTCTGGGCCAGAGGTGTCGATTCAACTTCTGCTTGAGCTAGAGGTGGCTCTCCGCGTCCCTCTCCCAATTCTGGCTCCTGTTGAGTTCTAGATCCTTTTCCTGGCCCAGGTCCCTGCTGTAATGCGGTTTCCTGTTGAGTGAAGGGAACCCTTTGGATGGGAGGTGATTGTTGTGGTGCAGGCTCCTGTGGGGCAAGAAGTTCCTGCTGTAAAGCAGATTTTTGTTGTGCTCTAGGTTCCTGCTGGGATTCAGCTTCATTTTGGGCAAGGGGCTCTTGCTGAGTGAGGGGTCTTTGCTGGGAAGCAGGCTCCTGTTGGGTATTGGGTCTCTGCTGAGTCTTAGATGCTGGCTGTGCTGTGGGTGTCTTTTCTGGGCCAGGCTCTGGCTGGGTGATAGGTGTCAGGTGTGGCTCAGGTTTCCAGTCAGGCCTAGATACTGACTTAGAACCTGACACCACTGTTGTTATTTCCCTCATGAGAGATGTTGATCTTCCAGGCTTCATCCTTCCCGTCCCCCTAGCTAGGCTTCCTTTGTCACAGACCCCTCATTGATTCCTCATGATGGCACCTCCCTTTGGGTTCTACTCCTTCATCCTTTCATTCCTGGTCTTACTTTTTAAGGCAGTTGGCAAGTCGGCCGACCACTGTTGGACCCCACTCCTGTGCCAAGTGAGGCTCTTCTGTGCCTCCTGTTGTGGGAGGATGGATTAGGAACAGGGGGAGGCTGTGTGCCCTGCACTCTCCTACCACAGGGGAGGGGCTTGCCTTCTTGTGTCATAAATAAGGCCCCACCCCAACTCACCACTCAGTGAAAATGTTTTTTTTTTTCTCATAAGGCAGCATCCCAACTTAGTCCTCTGTTTCATCTGGAGTGACAGAAGCCAGATTCTGGATGAGTGTTCCTTCCCCCCCCCACCCCCCACCCCGCCTCTTCTGATGTTAGAGGAAAGGGTCAGAGGGGGAGGCAGTCTCTATACTTTTGTAATAATCTTTTCCTCTTTATTTAGTCTTTTGAATGGTTGCCAGTTTAGTTTCCTTATTGCTTTATAATTTCAGTTCCATGTTTAAAAAAATGATGTCCTCCTGTTTTTACAGCTTGAAGCCCTTTTCAGTAGCATTTGGGATCTTTCACACCATCTCCCTAGCCCTGAACCTATGGTTCTGCATATGTCTTCTGTACTAGTTTGGAAACTCACAGAGTACAATGACCCTTAATGATGACGGTGATAATAACAATCATAAATCCTAAAGGCATTCTACATGCTAGGAAACTGGTCAAGTTTTTTTTAAAACCTATATTATCTTTGCTATGACTATGTCTGATTCTTTTCTATACCTGCTTT